CAGTTCTGATTGAGAGCATTTTATGCTTCACCTATTATCTCTATCAGTTGATGGCCATATAAACTTAGATAAACTTTGCCGAGGTAAGCTCTCGTGATAAATATCAAATATTTAAAATAATGATTTGTATGCCAATAATTAAAGAATATTCAGGATATAATTACATTTAAATAATAAATTATAAATTAATAATTAATAATAATAAATAATTAAATAAATTAATTACATTTAAATAATAAACTCGTTAGTTTAACGTTTAAAATCTGGGGAATAAAAAGGCTTCCCAGACAGATTATTCGACAGATTATTCATGCCTTGCTCATTTAATGCTATTCGTATATACAGGATAGTCTGTAATGTGATTTGGGATACGTTGTACGTAATATAAGGGACATATAATCTATAGAACGCCGTAAATTTCATGGACGAGGTAACGTCTTTCCAGCATCTGTATAGGCTCGCTCTCTGCTCCCTTCATTCCAGCCGCGACCTTGCGTGATGCATCTTCAGCTCTTTCCTCAATGTAATGCCTGTTCCTAACTTCCATACATTGTAATTAGCTAACTCTGCTTCCATCACCAGCCATGACCTTGCTAGAAGCCGATTCCTCGAACATTTAATTCTCAATTCCTCGACTTATTGCCGATTCCTCGAATAATCAAGATTTCTTATGTTCACTTGATGCCTCAACTTTTTTTCCGAGGACACTGTCCACGTTCTTAGAATGTTATTGCTGTTTTTTACTTTACACACTTGAATTAGGTAACTGATACCAACTGTACAATCATCGTTTTCAGTCGAAAATAGCAAATTGTACAAGTATTCTGCAATTTTTTGAACTGACGTATGACTCATAGCATTTTTCTTGCCTCTGGCTTCAGTACTGTTCGGTGTCATATACAAACGGGGATAGCATGTTTTGAATATAACAGTATAAATATCATGCTGCCCATTTCTATTGTAAATATGTTCTTATGCATTAACTGTAGGTCAAAAGCATTATATTATACTATTATACACATAATTCGTTTACTTATTGCAGCTTTCAAATTCGGTCTATATTGTCACGTTGCCATGCAATAACTTATGAACAGATCTCGAATCGCAAAGTCCCTTCAATAATATGTAATAATTTCACGAAGTTTTTTCACTAATAATTTCTTCAAAGTCCTATGTTGCCACAATACCTACTCTGAGTCTTGTCGATTAGGTAAATTCGCAACATCTTTATCTTTTCAATCTCACTAAACGTTATGTCAACGAAAACCTTAAAAAAACTAGGCGCGTGTCAATTGTTTATTTCCTTGAACTTTGCAACTTCTGAAATTCATTCTCATCTACCGATATGGACAAATTGAAAATATGAAGTTTTTCACTACAATTTCAGCTTTTCATATTATTATTTATGGTCCAAAAATATCACATCGTTTCCAAACTGATCTAGGAAACGATGGACAATTTCAAACGATTGATTATTTCAAAGATATAGATGATCCAAGCGCAATTACTGGTTTACGTAAGAAATTATTCTTTTTAACCATTTTTATAGAAGAAATATTTGTATAGTTCTTGAATCTTGCGTAACTTCTAGAAAATTCACCCGAGCAAACATTTTTCGGTGGAATCAATGATGACCCCTGCAATTTTAACTTCATTACTGGGCAACTGCGTCACAAAAGTTGGAATAGAATCAATAAATTTATCACTAACAATGTTCTTTAGCTCAAATTAGGAATCGAAATTGAGCATTGGTAAAAATATCTTTCAATTCTGAAATTTCAGCGCCTTTTGTTTTTAATAAGATGCCCAGACAGACAATATTTAAGCCGAAAATAGCAAATTGTACAATTAAGTATCCTACAATTTTTTTTAACTGACGATGGAGCCGGCCTCCGAAACGTTTTCAATGAAGTGAAGACATGGATTTATCTGGCGTTTTTTAATTTTTGAGTTCGTGGTAATTATAGTGTGGTATAGATCGAACCCGAGTGATATGTACACGTGTGTATTTTTACCTTACGATGAAGGTTAGAGGTCATCAAAAATTAGTCGAAAGTTCGTAACTCGGTCAGCCAATAACTGACGACATTTCAGGTTAAACCCGCCAATCACAGACGAAAATTCTTCCGCTATATTTAAACACTCATGCTGCAACGTGTATAAAAACAAGTTTTGAGAGAACGATCTCAGGACAGTGAAATATCATCGCGTCTTACGGCAGAATTGCAGTTATGCCATCAAATCAACCTGGGCGTCCTTCAGCAGAGCCGTCGACAGCAGCTCAGACAAATTCAACAATCGGCGAGGGGAGTTGGGCGGGCTAAAAATATTGCATAGGTATTACCGAAAAAGTCATATCCTAAAAATCAATATATTGATTGTAACACATTTTAGAACGTTTGAAAAAATGCAAAGTATTTCGGCGCAATAGATATAAATATAAGTAATTTTATTGCGATTGTAAGATTAAGAAGCATCGCATTAATTAAATGCAAGATTTTTGTAATAAATTAAAATAATAATCGAACTAAAATTTAGAATATCATTCGGTTTTAAATTATTGGTTCAAGAACGGTTTTTTCGTTTAATTATTGTTTATAAGAATCGTTCTCTAGCTAGCAGTGCCGAAAGTTAAAAAAAAAATCACGGAAGCGTGTAGGTCATTTTTGCATCGGATTCTCAAATCAAAGTGATTTTGTTTACAAGGAATTGCAATGATCACCAACTGGTCATGAATAATATAACTTCTTATTCGAGTCCGCGTATTGAAAAGAAAAACTTTCGGCACAAATTCATGAAGCTAAGAAAACGCGAAATGAAGACCTTTGGCATCCACTCAACAAATAATTTACAAAACTTGCAATTAATAATGTTGAACATCCAGAGATTTTATTCGAAAGTTTATGTATCTTTGATCAGAAAAAAGTAACTCTGTTTCGTTCGCTAACTTCGCGAAAGCTGCCACCCCCCCCCCCCCCCCGGCGTGGATCTGAGCGAGCGTATATGACGGGATGAGGGCGTCGTGGAAGGCGCGTCGCCGGACACCAGGGGCCATACTTTCATAAAAAGTTAAGAGTTTGTAAGTTCATCAGCCAATCATTGACGGCCTAGCATGCAAAACCCACTAATCATAGACAAGAAAATAGAGCGTAAGTACTTACGTTCACTTAGCGAGTTTTGAAATTTTGGGTCCAGGCATGCAGGCGGTCGTAAGTCTCGGCATGCTATGATCAAATGTCATTGACGGGAACACTTTTCCGCGAGGTTCTTTAATTGCTTTCTATGCTTAAACAATGTTTAATCTACTCGTCACATGCATTTTGTTACGCCACTATTAGTTAAAAAATAATTTTCTGCATGGAATAGTATGCAAACTTCAGGAAACTTAGATACGAAACTTTGCTTATATTTACAGGGCGATAGAAGTACATATATAGAGAGATTTAAATGCTTAGTTGGATTTTACATGTCTAATAATTCAATTGATGTTCTAAATTTTGTTCTTGATAATCAAGAATTTCTTGTATCTACTGCACCGTAGCAGATATAAGGGTTTGATCAGTGCCAGAATGCATGAAGACTCGTATTTACTTTTAAATTATTCACAAAATAAACTAGGAGTAGGATTCTAGAGCAAGACTAGTGCCTAATGCTGTAAAAACATATGATGCATAAACATTTACTTATTTAATTTTTCCTATGATATTTGGTAGCTCTACAGACATGCAGACCAAAAGAATATAAAAAGTTATGAATACATGCAGTCTTCATATAAAATAAATTCATGTGCTGTCAATTTTACCTTGATCGATTTTTTTAGCATCTCTGAATTCGTAAAATATGTTTTAAATCAGGTAATCGATTATCCAAATTCTACAAGTTGAAAGACGACCATTAACATACAGTACCTTCACATTACATTACACATTAACATACGGTAACTTCACCTTACATAACGCAATAACATACGATACCCTCACATTACATTATACATTAACATACGGTACGTTCACATTACATTGTACATTAGCATACGGTACCTTTACATTACATTACACATTATCATACGGTAGCTTCACCTTCACATACGGTACACATTATCACTACCTTCACACGGTATTTAATCTAATTTTACCTTACGGTAAATTAGATTAGATTTCCAATACAAAATGAACGTCCCGAAAAATCATTTTCGCGTTTAGATCGTGAAAATTAGACGAACTCTCATAAGAATTCATAGTCTGAAAACGAACTTTTAGACATTCTTTTTCACTCGTATTCAAACTTCCCCTATTGTGGAGGTTACTCACTAAACTAAACGGGAACTGTAAACGAGTTGAACTGAAATAATTTTTCACAACATAAGGTCATAGAGTGCACTTTCACGAATAAATGTGAGTAAATTTAAGTAGAAAGAATTTCAAAAACAGATACTACACGGCAATTGTGAATACGGCATATAAAAACTATGGAGGGAAATAGTATATAAACTTTTAAAAAATATAGCGTTCGAGTGTATTTGAAATATCATATTTTATATTCGCTGATTCATCAAAGAAAAGTTTAAAACAGAAACATGTAGCTGAAGACTAGAGGAAAAATCTTGTGTCATCTTGCACATATTTGGGTAGAATGAATTGACTTCATCGTCATGTTTTATGTCCAGTAGGAAATATTTCATCTGTAGCCATGAAAGAACAAGTCATTTCGGGGCCTTTTGTGCTTGGGTTTCAAAAGTTTACTAGGTGCTCAAAAGTACTATAACCTTAGCTCAAAACTCGTGACAATCGTTGTACAACATTGTTGTATAACAATGTTGTTGTACTGTCAAAAAATGGCACTTGCCACATAAACTGCATAGTCTGTCTGATATGATCTCACAAAAGGTTCAGGGTATAAACAATAACAACTGTTCCTAGTGGAGAATTATTAGCACGCAAATTTTTTTATTATAGCACAAATATTTTTATTATTATTATTATTGGAGAATTATAGCACGCAAAAGTTTTAATTCAATGATTTAAGCCTCAGTGGCCTTGATTTTTTAATAACGGTGTTTAGCCTGGACGTCCTCCGGCTGAGCGGGCTACAGCAACACGAATCCTAATCGGCGGAGGCGTTGGCGTCTCTGTCGTAGAGGGATCCACAACGGGCACCTGGGGCGGCTGAGGAGGCAGTTCAGGTGCTCCAGGTTGCTTTTGCCTGAGAAAAAAATTCATAAGAATTTTTAATTATGAAAATCACCAATATCGAACATTTTGGCCGCTTTTGGGAACAAAATCAAAGATACTTTACAACCATTTCATGGAGCAGAAACGGAAAGTGAGTGCCAATCAGTGAATATACTATACACTCCGATGATTTTTTTACGCACGATTTTTTTTAATTTACGCATGAATTATTTAAGGCTAAATAAGTTTATTCGTAAGTTTTTAAAGGAAAAAATTCACCAGCTGTAAACTCACTTAGCGAAGGCCGCCTCGGCGGCGCGGGTCTGAGCGAGCGCGTGCGGCGGTGCGGGGGGCGGCGTGGGCAGCGCGTCGCCGGACGCCAGGAAGCCGCGCTCGTCCGCAGTGTAGGAAATCTCGACGACCTCGCCTTCAGGAGACGTGAACCTGGTGCAAGTAACAGTATAAAATTCTTAATTGTTATCATAATGTTTCGCAGTGTAGGAAATCTCGACGACCTCGCCTTCAGGAGGCCTGAAACTGGGCCCCAAACGAAGAATTGTAAGGAATTTTGTTTGCATTGATTTGAATTTCCTTGAATACAGAAGGCAACGAAAGTTGAAAGAGAGACATGAGGATAGATATGAATTTTCTGATGATTTACGTTTTTTTAATTTAAGGATTTATCAAGGTGAAAATAGTCCAAGCTGTACAGTTTATGATCCATCATTAAATTGCTACATTTAATATGAATTAATGCCATCAAAGACTATATTACGTCATTGAAACGAGTTATCTATTTACCGCCTAATCAAAACTCCTTTGTGCATGCATACATGAAATCAGATCCCCGTCGAAAAAAAAAACGGGAAGAAAATGCTCACGTAATATTTTTTCTCATATAAAACCTCATTTGTACACTTATGAAATCCGGACGAAATCAATTACTTGAAGCATCCTCTATTTGTGCCGGGTAAACATTTCGTTCAATTTTTGCGGGCAAAAATTAATACAAATTAATTTTAATACAGACGTATGTGCATCGGCAATGCTCAGATAATTGCCTGGGCTTTCACCGATACATGCAAATACCTGAACTAGAAGGATCATTTGGATTATATTTTTAGTCATAGGTTAGCCGGAGGCTCCATAATTTGAATATTTTTAAAATCCCGTTATACTGCATCTTGATGGTAAGAATAACTTCTACGGATGTTAATTATAAAAATACCTCTTCAAAATTACGTTTTACATTCTAAACTAAAAGCAAAGCTCCCATTTGACTCCATATACTGAAAACCGAAATGCGAAAAAGTTTTGTAATAATCTATGAGATTAAATGTAAATTTAACAACTTGTTTATTAATTTTTAATTTTTGTACCAATCCTTTCCACTATTTCCTACAATCCTTTAATATTTTCCCAATAAAAAAATTTACGTCCCGGTAATCTCGCCAGTCGATAAGTATCATTGATATGTGCCCCAAAAGCCCTAGAAATTTGTAATGGACCGACATTTTACTTATTATTCACCCGTAAAATAATTGTAAATAGGCTCCAAACGTACAAGCAAACTTCGAAAAATATATAATTGCAGTAATTTCCAGATGACCTAGCTCCCTTACAAGGAATTGTCGTGTGCTGACAGCAATGCCAGGGGCCACTCAATATCGGTCAGACAACTTGCAGCTAAGCTAGTTAGCCCTTGACGTTGGCTACTTCCTATCGCTCAGGGTCGACTAGCGCTCTCTATAAAGCAGCAATCCAGAGCATAGCGTAATCGGCAGAGATGAGGGTTGGACCGATCAGCTACTGTCGCCTAATTATCATCTTCTTGTCGTCTTTTACTAGACCCGCAAAACTGCCCAATAATATGGCACCTATAGCCAAGTGTCAGAAACTGCGCAAAATGCTGCCAAGCGGTCGAATTCTGGTGGGTGGCTCCTCTATACTATACATAAAACAATGCAAGACCGTGCCAAGTCTAGTCTTGGAATTTTCTCGTGCGACAGTAAATTAAATTTCACAGTTATTTTTGTCCAATAAAATTTTCAACAACGGTGTCAGTTTTCGTTTAATTTCATCGGCAATAACAATGCCTAAAATTTATAGTGAAAAGAAAGGACTAGCCTTTTTGATCCTTTATGATTTGTGGTAATAACAATCCAAATCCGAATAACAAAACATTATCTCCTTAACTTAATGGCAAAAAAAATTGCCATCTACCCGCCTGCTCGCCTGTATGAAGACATCTTCACATCCTACATCCTCCCTGTAGAAATGGACAGAAATTCTAGTCGTTTTATAAGGGAAATAAGCTAAGAAAAACGTTTTAAAAGACATAATCACTCTCGCTGCTCACTCACGAGTATCGTCCCTGAACTCTGACGATGCCGTCCCCGTCGTTGCGTCCCCGCGCCTCGTGCAAGATGCCGTCCCCGGTCTCGTATCTGACGAATATTGTGTAGGAATTAACATACTGTTACCAGAGGTTAATAGAAGTTTTCTAGCTAAATAGACATCCGTGAATCCAAATAAGGAAGTTTTGAGTTTATTTATAGAAAAAACTCTCAAAAGTTAAAAATTGGCAGCGTTACATGAAGAAAACTTTCGTTTAAAATATGAAATATTTATTTTGTTGCATGCATCTTGTTGTATTTATAATCTCTAAAGTAAGTGACTGCAAAATTTCGGAGCCATAACCAATAAAATATTGGCAATATAAAAAAACTTACTTGAAACCGAAATTTCCGTCCCCGTCGGGACCATTTCTGGTGTCCGCAAGAATCGGCACATTTTCAACTCGCTCCCCCTGAGGAGCGGCGACTGCCAAGCCACAGAATGTGAACAAAATGACCTGTAAAATGAAATAAATGAATCAGAAAACATTGATATAGCATCAATTAAGCAATTCATAAAATTAAATAGTATAATTTGCATTTTCCGAGCTCATTTGTTCTTTTACCGTCGATGACGGTTGGGCTGTTAAGATTTGTTCAGAAAAAATAATAGTCACAAATCACTTGTGAAAACTTTTTACGAATTTAAAAATTCTAAAAAGCACTCGACACATATATATAGACGAACATCAAAGTTCAAAATAGTCCAACGATTATCCAATTATAAACTTGTTTCCACAATCTAAAAATATCATAAATAAGTTTCTATTGAAATTTTAATTAGAAGCACTTTCTTAAGCAGCACCAGTTTCATAAATTTAAGCTCCTGAATCTCATTTCTGCTACTCACAAAGATTTCTCAAATTTGATTTTGAACACAGTAATTTCCAAAGCGAATTTTTCAAAAAATTGTAAAAGCAATAAAAAACATGTATTTAGACTAAATTTCGTCACTGAATTCAAAATTTTCGGCTTTGAATTCTAAAGCGATCTTGTAACTCGCGGCACTGTCGGCAAACACCCTCATGATCACTATCATAGATAAGGAAATAGTTCATCGCAAATATATTATAATATGAATTCAAAAAATGCGTTGTTAAAATTTGTAGGCGTACGTTGGTCTGAATAAATATCTGAATTCATCACTCACTGCTATCATGCTTCCTCGTTGGCGTCCAGCACGACAATGAGCTAGCTGCCTGCCGTCAGTCGCGACTCCCTAATGGTTTATTGGAAACTACATTCTTCGCCTTGGCATAACTCAATTTACAACGATAATTTTTTCATGTTGACTTAGTATAGATGATTGGAACTGATGTTTAGTAAAATCGCAAGGAGTGATTAGGCATATCGATATTAGTGATTTTTTGAGATGATCTAGCATTTTAATGGAATTACAGAAGGTTGAAAATAAAAATGGTAGTGGATGGCCTTGAAAATGCGCTCACCAAGTGCAGACTTAGCTGATATTTTTGACGTCAGAAATCGCTACTGAAGATTTGGGCTTGGTTCAACATTTAAAGTTGTATCATCAATCATTTTATTGCACAAGTTGCTAATTGTGAGTCCATATTTATATTCAACGAATTTATATTATTTCTATTTGTCTCCATAGAAATTTTAGAAAATTATACTTTGAAGGCATGATTACAACGTGCTAACAGACGCTTGTTTTCTCTTTATTTAATAAGGAAACATTTTAAGCTAATGAAACAGCCGGTATATGTATGTTTATTTGACGAAACATTTAAATCGATGAAAAATGTAAGGTGTAGAAACTTTATGAGATTTAAGTTTTTTTTTGACAATTTTCGTACGAAAACGTTCTGAAGAAACGTCATGATTCGCTTGAGCAACAAAGATTTAGATATGTAAATTATTAAAACTTTGTGCTATATGAGCTATAACGAATAATTGAAATCATTGATTTGAAGAAGTTTGCTTCTCAATTCGGGATTTTGTACTAAGATTAGGGCACAAATCAATGGAATTTCACATATCCATATATAAATAGAAAAAATTGCGCACTAACAACAACTGAATAATTATTACATAGTTTGGAATGTATATCTTTTCCGAAGTTTTCATGCATCGCACCTTGGAAGAAGAATTCACCAACTTGCAAATTTAATAACGAGATAACTTGAAATGAACGAATCAGAATATAGGTTCTACCAATGCTATGGCAAGCTAGAAAAAAAAATATTTCTAAATTTTCAAGAATATTCTAGATAATGAATTGTATCATCGCTTTGCATTCTCAAAGGGATAGCAATTATTACAGTTAAAGGGGAAATTTATAATATCTTAGAGAGACTTTTCATGTCTGCTGATACAATTCATTATCTAAAATATTCTTGAAAATTTAGAAATAATTTTTTTCTAACCTACCATGGCATTGGTCTGATCACTTGCAAAACATAATAAAGAAGGGACACTTGTATTCAATTTTGAATAATTCAATTCACTAATAAACTAGAACTAGAATCGTAGAGCAAGATCGACTTGGGCCTTATGCTGAAAAATACAAGAAACATGACAAACAAATATTTTTTGCTTCTTTAAATTTCCCATTCATATTGGTAGCTCTTCAGACATGCAGACAATGAAGCACTCGTTTTTGTAGACCTTCAGCCTTGTTACTTTATAATATCGTTGCTGTATTACGTCACCACATCGTGGTCATGTTACGTCATCATGTCGTAGCCGTATTACGTCACCACATCGTGGTCATGTTACGCCATTGTATCGTAGCCATTTTATGTCACCACATCGTGGCCATGTAACGCCATTGTATCGTAGCCATTTTATGTTACCATATGTCTCATCATATCGTGGCCATACTTCGTCATTATATCGTAGCCCCCTTTACGTCATCATAACATAGGCATGTCAATTAACATTGATGGGACGCAGCTTCCTCACGTTAATTTAAACCTTACATAACTGGACATGCAGCGTACATATGGGCATCTGCATAGCCGGCGACAGGTCCCTGCGACCACAAGTCAATGCCAGGATTCACAAGGCCAGCCTGTCATCCACACAGTTACGCACTAAAGTCCTTCAGTACAGCATTTTCAGCCTCTCGTTAGGCTCAAGGTGTACAAAAAAACTAGGATTTCGTTTTAATTTCTGAGACATTTCGGGCATAGATTACACATCCGCAATTGCTCTTTGACTCATATGATTTGGGTGACGTTAGAAGTTGTCCTCAACTTTTGGAATTTGAAATTTGGAAGGCAATGGATTTTATTCAAACTATAGTCAGACACGCGCATGTTGTCTACCATGAAGTTGCCCAAACAAGAAGCGGGAGTTGGATAACGCACATCCATGTCTGTTGGATTAATTGTCATTCACTGGAGCACCGTGAACCTACACCATAGTGGTGTGATATTAACACAGCTGTGAGGTAAGACAACTTTTATTTTTCAGGCCGAGACGCGGATTATTTTGAACTCTCCAGCCTGAGGCTGACCGTTAAAGATGCACAGTCAGAGTACAATATAATTTTACTGTCATTAGAGTCATAGCTCATAGGTAGTCTTTATTGTTACAATAGATTGATATCGTTATTACGATTGCTACGATGCCGGTGCACGATCTGTAAAACTATGGATTTCTTTCCTTCAAATTGCTTCGTAATTAAGGGAGCACCAAGTTCCCAACATCGAAAATATAATTTGCAACAGTCATTCATTTATTATATTTTATTCAAAGATCTGATTACACTGATTTATTTGCGCAATCTAGTATCTATTTGTATATGTTTGCTGTTTGAAGCCTGACCATATAAACATATAGGGGCTAAACGCACTACCAATTATACTAAAAGACGAATAAATAGGAGCAAAACGATAATTGCGTGTTTAAACGGATTTTTTCTTGGCCTAGCCTTATGCTATGAATAATTTAGTTGAACGCTTTTGTTCTCGCTGGAAATTTTCCATCAAAACTAAATAAACTTCATGTCACTAACAATAAACTCTAGAACCTTAATTATAATTGTTACAATACGTCATCAGCTAACTCACGTTTCTTTATAAATTGTGCCAACGCGAATATCGCGAATAAATTTCATTTTTTCTCTGGTTATCACACAAAAATTGAAACATCCAAATCTAACGGATTGTACGTTACAGGATAAGCTGGAACTCCGGTGTCCTTATCATGGAAAAGATGACCTCCCCTCGACATCCTGCCTGCTCGTCCTGTGTCCCCTCTATTTCCCACCCCGATCCTGCGTGCATCCCCTCAGCGCCGTCAAATCCTTCCAATCATTAACATGTCCAGTTGATCTTACGTTGTAAACTCACACATTTCCACCCACGCAACCCTTGAGTGTTTGCAACACCTTTTTCTGAGGACTGGTCTCGGCATGTGATCACCAAATGGTACTAATGGGAAGCCTGTCCCTCCTGGTTCTTCTTCCTCTTCTTTCTACACTAAAACAAAGTTGATTCTGTTCATAAATGCCTTTTTTAACGTCAATATTAATTCACAAATAGGAACAACGCTTGCGAAATATTGATAGGAACAACGCTTGAAAATCTTGAGTAAATTTTCTACATGTCAATTAAATTAAGCAGCTTCAGAGATCTTCGAGGCGACTCCGAGTATCCGTGACGTTGTATTTATAGTACATAGTTAATATGTAGCACATCTGTAGGGAGAATTTAAAATATCTAATGAGCTTTTTAATGTCTGCTGATACAATTAATCATCTAAAATCTTGTTCTTGAAAATCTGAAACCATTTCTTATCTAATGCACCGTAGGTTTGATCAGTCGCACCGTAGATGAAAACAGAGGCACTAGTATTTACTTTCAAATGATTAAAAAAATAAACTAGGAGTAGAATACTTGCAGTAGGATTCTACTAGCGCCTAATGCCGTAAAAAATTAGTGCATGGTTTCTTCTATAATCTTTTCCTCGGTATTTGATAGCTCACCAGTCATGCAGACTTGGAGAATATATATAGAAAGTTACGAACTTAGATAGTCTTCAAATAGGAGAAAGTCTTCATAGAAAGTTTTCAGATGGTAGAGAGTCTTCACAGAAAGTCTTCAGATAGGAGAAAGTCTTTATAGAAAGTCTTCAGGTAGGACGAAGTCTTCGTAGAAAGTCTTCAGATATGAGATATTCATGAGTCGTCAATCTTACTTTGATCGATGTTGGTTAATATCTGTGATCTTGTGAAATATGTATTGAATCAATTTATCGAGTATCAAAATATTCCAAATTTAATGACGACCATTAATATTAGGCATTTTCGGTATTTTCATATGATCGCCTACAATTCCATGGGCTGGTCCGTAACTCAACTCAAAATTAACTACGTTCGATTCACAATACAAAAATTTAGTGAGTGAAAAATAGAATGTCCGGAGAAAAAATCGTTTGTGTTTATATCGTGAAAATAAGATGAACCCTCATGAAAAATCATTGTTAGCTAACGAATTAAAAAAATTCATCGATTTAAAAATTTGTTTGCCTATATGCAAAACTTCCCCTTAATTTGAAAGTCACTCGATAATGAAACTACAACTGTGAACGTGGTTTACTATAAAAAGAATTTACGCTACATAAAAAAACATAGTATGAAAGTGCGTGAATTCAAAAAGCATGAATTTGAAAGATAGTTACTACACAGTAACTGCAAACACGGCATACAGAAACATGGAGGGAAATTATAAACTTCTCAATAGTATTTATTTTAAACATTCATATCCTTTTGAAATATCTAATTGTTTCTTTTTATTCATTCAAGAAAAGTTAAAAGCAGGACCAATTAACTGAAAAATAAATGGCTAAATCCTGCCTAATTCCGTACATTCATGGGTAAAAGCAACTGACTTCGTCGTAATGTTAAATCTCCAATAGAAAATATTTCATCTCTCGCTACAAAGATAACGAGTCATTTTTGGGCCTTTTATGTCACTTTCTCAATAGTTCACCAAGTGCATAAAAGATAAAATCGCAGCTAAAAACTTGTAAACATCGTTGTGCAATTACGACCTTCAAAAAAAAAACAAGACATTGGTATTTCACCAATTTTTAACTTTTCGATAAACTCTACTGTTGAAAAATTTTGTCCATTTGTATACATATTGAACCATGTGATTACAGCCAGAATTATTGAGGGTGAGTGAACAATTTTGCCTATTCAATGATGGCGCACGTAACTTTAACTACGTAGTCGTTCTGATAAGATCTCTCGTAATATTCAGGGTATTAAGAATAACAAATGTTCCTGTTAAAATTATTAGCACGTAAAATTTGATTTATATTTTAAAAGTTTAGTTCAAGCACAAAGCATCAGCGGCCTTAATTTTTTTAATTATTGTTCAGCCTGGACGTCTTTCAGATGAGCGGGCTACCGGCGCAGCCCGCGACACCCCTGCCGGAAGCCGGTTGGCAAAAGATGGCCGGATGGCCGGAAGCCCATAGGCAAAAGCTGGCTGCTTTTGCCTATGGAAAGAATATTTTATCAGAAGCTTCAGTCATAATTAGTATGTACATCGGATATTTTTGTCACTTATATAAACAGTATCGAATTTACTTTCCAACCATTCTGTAAATTTAAATAAATGCGCAACGATTGCCACACCGTGTATGTACACTCCTAGTAATTTTAAGAGATGTAATAAATAATAATTAACGTTCAATGAGTTTACTCGGTCGTTTACTTGAGTTTTCATAAGAAAAAAACGTAACTAAGATTGAGACTAACTTTGCGAAGGCCGCCTCCGCGGCGCGGATCTGAGCGAGCGCGTGCGGCGGTGCGGGGGGCGGCGTGGGCAGCGCGTCGCCGGACGCCAGGAAGCCGCGCTCGTCCGCAGTGTAGGAAATCTCGACGACCTCGCCTTCAGGAGACGTGAACCTGGTGCAAGTAACAGTATAAAATTCTTAATTGTTATCATAATGTTTCGCAGTGTAGGAAATCTCGACGACCTCGCCTTCAGGAGACCTGAACCTGGACCGCCAAATAGTATAGATTTTATCTGCATGGACTTGAACTTCCTCTGATGAGGGAGACGTTAAAAGTTGGAGGAGGGTCGCGATGATGTACGTAATTTTCTGCTGAATTTCCTAGAAAGTTATGACTTCAACAGGGTGCGAAAAGTCCAGGTCCTACAGTTTATTACGCATTTTCAAAATTTTCAATTTGATGGGCATCTTCGACAGAAAAAATAACCTCGACGGATGAATAGTATTTAATATATGTTTGACTCGGAAATGCTCAGCAGAAGTACCTGTGCTTTTACCTATTCTTGTTAATGCCCTAACTATACGAGGGAGATTTGTATTATAAAATCAACTAGCAAACTAGAGTGGCGTTGCACGGTATCAAAAATCCCTGCTATTCTAGATGCCCGTCATCACTAATCGGCTTTATACGAATATAATTAACGTAAACGAATTTAACGTAATATATGCTAAAAAAACGTTTTACATAGTACCTAAAGCATAAAATTCCTATTCGTGTCACATTACAAATGAAAAAACAAAAACATTTTTATTCAAATAAAACTATGATAACCAATTTCATGCTCAAATATCGATTTTGGTCCAATTATTTTCTAGTAGACTGGCAATGCCTAACTATTCCCCCACTAAGACTATATTTTCAGATCCTGGTAATAAAGAATAAATAAATATCCTGGACACAACTCCAACAGCCACTATATTTTGTTGTCAGGCTTCCAACGTACAAGCAAACTGTGACAAATATATAGTAAAAATTATGCGATGACAAATATAATAATTTTTTTTCGAGAATCGTTGCAGTAACTGCCAGACTCTTACCAATAACTCTCACAAGTGACAGCAATAACAAGGGTCAACAGTATCTGTTAGATGTGATGCGCTATAACTTGCAGCTAGTTAGGCCTAGACGTTGTTTAGTTACTAAGGCATAAATAAAGTAACTAAGTTACTGTCTGTAACTAAGTTACTTAGAGACAAAAATAAAGCCGTAGAAGTTTATTTCATTAGTAATCATCATTCGTTAGAATTTCGCTTTCAAAACGATTAAGAACTTAGTTTTACACGTGATTTATTAATCATATTATTATTAATTAAAAGAAAGAATTAGGCTCGTTGGTTGTGTTAAAATTAATCCTAAAATCAATCACGAACCATCATCACCGGAACATATACAAACAAAATTGCCATCTGTCCACCTCCTGCTCGCATGCATAAAGATATCCTCACCCCCTAGGCACACTCACAAGCTTCCTCAGTTTCAAATAAACCCTAACAAATATTCATTCAAGTTTTGACTCAGAACGAAATTACAATATTTATCCTCCTCGCCCCTGTGAAGACATCCTCACTCAATTTTCACACTCACGAGTATCGTCCCTGAACTCTGACGATGCCGTCCCCGTCGTTGCGTCCCCGCGCCTCGTGGAAGATGCCGTCCCCCGTCTCGTATCTGACGAATAATGCGTAGCAGTTACCACACAGTCACCAGGGGTTAGTTGAAGTTTGTAAGCTAAACAAGCTTCCATGAAGTAAAATCGGGATGTTATGAGTTTATTTATCTATGGATAGTCTAAAAAAAATTAGAACTTTGCTACGTAACTTGAACAAAATTTCTCTTTGTAAACTTGAAATATTCAAAGGGTTGCATCTTGTTGTATTCAAAATCACTAAAGTAAATGACGGTAAAATTCTCAGGAACATTCTAAATAAAACAAAGCTTTAACCAATAAAATATTGGTTATGATGAAAAATTTACTTGAAGTCGAAATTTCCGTCCCCGTCGGGACCATTTCTGGTGTCCGCAAGAATCGGCACATTTTCTATCCGCTCCCCCTGAGGAGCGGCGACTGCCAAGCCACAAAATGCAAACAAAATGGCCTGGAAAACGAAATAAATTAAACGGAGTTCCGATGGATAAATAACAAATTTAACTGTGAAAACAACTGCATCAGCAGCTGCAATGTCATCAATTTAGGTTCTACTACATGACTTTAGGTGAAAAAAAAATTCTATAAGCCAGATTTAGAAGAAAGAAAAAATAGGATTTTTCGTGGAAAAATTCTGAAATATTGAAAAACAATGAGACTTGTGCAATTAAAGCGACTTTCGGTACTTGACTGAATTTTAACGTGGTCTTGTATCGTAAAATAATTTAGAAAAAGGCTCTTAATTATCATCATTAAAAAAAAACATTCGTCGTAAAAACGTTATAATGTACATATAATAAATGTGTAAGTAAGATGTGTGGAGTTTGTTTAAACAAATTTCGGTATCCATCACGTACCGCTAACATGCTTCCTCGCTGACGTTCAAGACGACAATGTGTTTTCTCCAGCCAGATGCGACTCTATTTATGCATTGTGGGAACATCTTAACCTTGGGACAAACAAGATAAGCCACGAGACGGCTTATTTTGTTGTTGAATTTATAATCCCACGGTTGAAATTTTAAATATAATTTAAAAATTCTCTGAAATTACCGCACAAACTTATTGAACGTTAAATTATTCATGCTCGAGACTGGAAAAATTACTCGGCGTGACGCTCATGCGCGTACATCAGTTTCCCAAGTTGAACACAAAGGGCAGAATTGGACGTCATTTTAGACGTCAGAAATCATTAATGAAGTTTTGGATTATATTTTTAAGTATGAAAATTAAGAAAATATTTAGTATTACGGACTTGATGGGATCACCGATTTAGGACAATCTTCGTACGAAAACGTTCAGAACAACTGGTAAGGCTAACTTCAACAACAAAGATTTAGCTGTGCAAATTATTACATATTACCGATTCGCGAGGCAATCATGTCGATGAAGGGATTGAGTTGAAGAAGGAGCCTATATAGGGCTTCAAAGGGAAAATGTGGCCTTTTGTATATATTCTGAAGAACTAGTCAGTTGTTGAAGTTTTCCTGTAAAGTCATGATTCTGTACCAAGATTTGTACATAAATCAATAAAATTTCACTATATATGTGAAAATTAAAGACTCGTACACTAACAACTCATAAATATTTATTATATATTTCAAATGTTTGTCGTTTTCAAAGTGTACATGCGCCGTAGCTTAGAAAAAAATTTACACCCTAGTAATATTAATGATAAGATAATTAGAAATGAAAGAACCAGTATGAAGATTCTCGAAGCAATTTGTAATTATAACACAACTCGTGCAAAGACGATGCACAATAGAAAAAATATGCAATGCAATTAAAACTAAATCTTTTGATTTTAATTTTGCGTGAGTCCGGATATTGGGAGCTGGTGTGCTATATATGAGATAGGTTGTATGTAAAATGTAAAATTTTAGACATCTTTTACGTAACATAAGAGATAAGTCTGAACACAATTCAATTGTCAAAGACGAGATTAAATCTCCTCGCGCCTGCCCGTTCGTCCTCTGCTACCTTAATTGTAGGCCTGACCGTGACCCTGTTAGAAGCATCTTCAGCTCTTGCCTTAATATAACGACTGCTCGTAACTTTTATATACTGCATGGGTTTAGATAACTCTGCTTGCTTAACTCCAGTCTTATAGTCTTGAAATTTAAGCATCATCAACTCCTAACAACTCCTCGAACATTTAAGATTTTCTATGTGTCTGAGATACCTTGATTGTGCAACAACTTTAACAGAGGACACAGTCCACGATCTTAGAATAGCGTGACTAGCGACTATTTTTAAATTTTTAACTCTAAATTAGAAAACTGATATAAACTGTGCAATATTATGATGCGACTTACAGAAAGCTTCTGGCCTCTGCAGTTTATAACATAATTTATTGGTGAATTTGTTCTTTAAAGTGAATGATAAACCGCCAAATATGCTAGATAAAATGCATCCATTCATATGACTTTTATCATCCTGGAATATTTTGAAATACTTTATATATGGAATTTGTACGTTGCCTCTATGGGAACGGAAATGGAAAATTAACTTTTTGATGTTTTCCTCCTCTGTGATAAACATCAATTGTTATACCTGCAATCTTTTTCATTTAATTTCTGACGTGGTTTGAGCGAAGCATGCTTGCGGGTCCTGCCAAATGAAACTCTGTTTCGTAATCAATTGAATATATATGATGCATTTTCTATTACAATATTGTACTAGAGACGAGCAGTTGAATCGTTGCATTTATAAATTATTTTTGTACTGGTTGTGAATCAGTGAATCAATGTGAATCAAACACAGTGCCCAAACTTCTTCCGACAATGCAATGTTTCGAGAATTTTTTATAGAAAATGAATCAATCTTTTTCATGTAATTAGGAATTGTTCATTTTCTATAATATAACTATATCCTTTAATTAGATCATAAAAAGAGCGGTGATTTGGTTTTATCATAATTTTTGCCACAAACGACAAACTTGTTGATTTTTTGTTTGTGATCTCACAGCTCAGTACCGCTGATAATTAGTGTCCTCAGAATAGTTGTCCTGACTATACCTATAAGACCTCAAAACTTGCTATCTCTCACAATTTTAATGTGCGTTTCTAGGTTAAGTATACTTCTATGAGATTTGAATTAATTAATTATTCACATACAATTACAAGCCACAGGAAAAACACAGGACTCAACTCAATACTATTTGATAGTCTTGGTGAACTTGGCACGGCCACATGGTCAAGGATGAGAGTTATGTTGCAAATAGGATACGCTGAGAAAGTTGTTATGCAGACAAAGTCGTAACCTCGTAACCTTTGACTGTGCATTGAAATGTTGACTGTGAGCAGCCGTCGTGATGACGGACAGTGATTTGGAATCTGAGTATATTAATTGTTGGGGACCACCAGATTCGCATGAACTGTTGTCATAAATAAAAGTCTTTTCTGGTCAAGATATACTTAAAATCTTACACCACAATACAGTTATAAAAATGAGCAAGGTTACAAAGACCGTTGAGACTATCTGGTATAAAACATAAACACGCAGAATAGAGGCATCCTTACTGTCCGCTCTCCCAAATCAGTATGATCTTCGTTTGTACGATACTCGTCAACAAAGTTACGATTCTTTCCAGAGCTATCTTACAACTTATACATCCTATAGAATTAAAATGCATCATTTTCCCATACACTGTACATCAAAATAATACACATTGTTGACCCTTAATAATTAACCTAGCCCTCTACAATATAGTTATATTATAGAGATGAACGATTCATTATTAAATGAAAGATTGACTAATTTTTTCTAAAAATTTCTCGAAACGATGTTTTGTCGGACGAAGTTTGAGAACTGTGTTTGATATACACTGATTCACAACGCAGTATAAAAAAATTTATAAATGCAACTATTCAACTGCTCTTCTATATAGCATCAAATTATAACGGGAAATGCATCAGTTATTCAATTAATGACGCAACTGCGTTTCTTTTAGGAGGACTCGCAAGCATGCTTCGCTCGATCCACGTCAGAAATTAAATGAAAAAGTTTATAAGCAAAGAATAGTCTACAAAAATTCAAATCTTTATAGAAAACGCTTCGGAATACTGCGCTCCATCGTCAGTTCATAGAATCTAAATTCATAGAGAAAGTCTCAAATTATCACAATTGAAAGCACAGAACGCAATTAAAAACCTAAATTTACAAATAATAGACAGAGCAAAAAACCTTATCTATTCACAATTTCAAGGGGATCGGAGCTAACAGCTGAATTCAAAGTGGGCGTAAGTTTAAAAACGTACAAAGATTCTAAAATACGCAAATCTGAGGTACCGCGGAGGTGGAAGCTTTCTTTGTTTTTAAATTCTTTGCTTTTAAATTTTTAGTAAACTTTCGATTCAAGCAAACAAGTAATATCAATTCTTCAAATGAAAAAGATTGCAGGTATAACAAGGTGATATTAATCAGAGGGGAGGAAAATATCGAGAAATCAATTTTTCTATATTTCTCTTCTCCTAGAGGCAACGTACAAATTCCATTGATTTCAAAATATTCCAGGATGATAAAAGTCATATGAAGGGATGCATTTTATTCAACATATTTGGCGGCATATCATTCACTTTAAAGAACAAATTCACTAATAAATTATGTTATATAATGCAGAGGCCATAAGCTTTCTATAAGTCGTATCGTAATATTGTACAGTTTATATCAGTTTTCTAATTTATATCAAAAAACTGAAGCACAGTCATTATATTCTAAGATAGCGGATAGTGTCCTCGGATAAAAGTTGTGGCACAAACAAGGTGTCTTGACCATTTAGGAAATCTTGAATGTTCGAGGAGTTGTCAGGAGTTGATGCAGCTTAAATGTCAAGATGAACACTGAAGTTGAGCAAGCAGAGTTACTTTAATCCATGCAGTGTCTAAAAGTTACGGGTAGTCGTTATATTAAGGCAAGAGCTGCATGAAGATGCTTCTAACAAGGTCACGGTCAGGCCCATAATGAAGGTAGCAACGGACGAGAGGACAGGTGCTTGAAGATTTAATTTCGTCTCTGATAATTGCCGCATTCAAGTTAATCTCTTATGATACTCAAGATATTCAAAATCTCATATTTTACGTACAACCTATCTCTTAATATAGCATACCAGCCCCGCCACAATTTCCCGACTCAAGTAAGATTAAAATCAAGATTTTAATTATGGTGCATATTTTTTTCTATTGTACGTGTTGAAATTAATTACGTTGAATATTTTTTTTTTCAATTGTACGTGCTATAATTAATTAATTTGCATATTTTCTCTATTTTAGGTGTTCAAATTTGTATATTTGCGTACGTTGCATATTTTTAGCCCATTTTCTCATTTATGGAAAAAAATGCACTATTGTGCTCGCCATGTCCGTCTGTCCGTCCGTCTGTGTCCGTCCGTGACTTAACGTTTTCGTCGACGAGAAAATACGCTCTCTGTCACTCACTGCAGTGAATACTGAGTTATATTTTTTCTGTTGTACGTGTTATAATTATTGCTTCGAGAACCTTCATACAGGTTCGTTCATTTCATATTATCTTATAATTATTTTTACATGAGAGTGATTTTTTTCAAGCTGCGGCGAATGAACACTTTGAAAAAGTGTTAGAAGACAAACATTCTGGACTATATAATACTTATATAGAAGTTTCTAGTGCATGAGTCTTTAATTTTCACATATATAGTGAAATTCTATTGATTTACGCACAAAGCTTGGTACAGAATCGCGACTTGACCGTCAAACTTCTGACTATTTCTTCAGAATGTATGTAAAAGGCTTCTTTTTCCCTCTGAAACACTAGGCTCGTTCTTCAACTCGATGCTTTCACTGATTAAAGTTGCCTCGCAAACCATGTAATTAGTAATAGTTTGCGCTCAGCTAAATCTTTATTGCTGAAG